CAAGGACTCAGCCTCAGTACATGGGTCGCCAGCTCTACCAACTGAGCTGGGTGCCCAAGCAGAGCCTTTTAGTGTCTTTCAGCACATTGTTTTAGTTTTTACAGCTCTCACTGCTCTTGTGTAATTTTCGAGATGCAGCAGGCAGCGGTGTTTATTTTGTCTGTTCACATTTTGACTAATGCAGTGAAATTATGGTCATTTTCTAACTTAAAAACCTTTACCTTTACATGCTTTTTAATTTGAACTGATTGTCAACCATTAAACAAACAAACATGTCAGTATTTTGTATTGTGCTTCAATGTATTTGAAGGCATTTGAGCTCAAATTCCTCCACAGTCTGAATGAGTCACTGTTGGTGGATTAAGTGGGTAAAGATCTACTGTGCACTGTTATTTACTTACTCTTACTGAGTGGTTTGCCTTGCTGCTGGATTTATAGAGGAATTTATAGATGTGTATGCAGTATTTGTGCTGATGATGACCCTGCTATTTATATAGCTTTTTAAGCATACTATATTCCAAGAGCTTGATAAAAGATGAACACATTTCTTTCTCTTTCTCTCCCTGGTTTATAAATTGTGCAGCATTTCTAGAGCTGACTATTCTTGTCACGTCTTGTAGTGCAAGCTTGTACAATGAGAATAAAATTAGCCTTCTATCTGACATTGTAATGGAAAGCGGCACACACAAACAGTTTCTCATGCATGAGAGGTAATTTTATTTTAGGAAGTTTATTTTAGGATAATGTTATTCATGGGTTTGCTAGAAAAGGAGCAAACAGATGTTGTGGGAGAAAGCCGGCTGGTAGACTTGACATTTCAGTGACATTGGCTTTTCTTGCATTTTCTTGTGAAATTCTGTTTTGTGCTTTAGATAATTCAGAGGAAAGAAGCTGGTTAATTCTATATTGTTAATTGTAATAGTTTCTGGCATAGATAGATATAATCATACATCAATGAAAACATTCAAGCAATTAAGGATTGATTAACATTTTATCACCAATCTCCAGACTCTCTTCTGACACACACGAATCCTAAATGCTATTCTGTCATCCGATGATTTCATTCATTCTCTCACTCTCGCA